GGGTTTAGGGTTTAGGGGCAAGATAAAGGTTATATAAGGGTAATGTCGGGGTTATACAGATTTGTCGGGCCTTATACTGTATCTATAAAGTGCGATGTAAGGCTTCTATACTAACACTTTGCCCTGCATTTCAGCAGAAGTAACCCCCTCCCCTAATATCTAAACCCGCCACAGCCCCCTACTATTCAATTTTCCCCACATAACATCATATAACACAATTGGACGAGATGATTGTAGGGGGGTGGCGGCAGCGCAAATATTAAGAGGAAGTGATGACAGGGTTATGGGGGTAAAGGCAAGTTTTATGCTTGCAACTCGCGACCCTCAACGGGAAACCCTATACTGCGCCTTCAGGCAATTGAAGAGAATGCAAAACCCTAAGCCCTGAACCCTCAAACCCTAAACCATTTGAGAGAATGCAAAGAAGCGCTTATGACACGCAGATTAGGGTTTAGGGTCCATAATCCATCACATACCTGCACAACGCAGGAAAAGTTGTGACGAAACGTGCCCTCTCAATCCTGCATATGCCCCGTGCATGCTATCCATGCACCCATGAACCAAATAGACATCGGACCTGAAACTCAATCCTTGCAGGATCTAAATTCACGCTTTAGCCCCCCAACTCAACCCCCACCCTAAACCCTAAACCCCGCAAACCACCCCCAACCCTACACAACATCCCTGAGCTCCAACCCCTCAATCCTGAACAGTGAATCCTAAGCTCTCCCTCGACGTCCAAAAGGTCGCAGATGATTCTGTACATGGAAATCTCGCACCACTTCAGACCCCAAAGTACTGTGCTTATTAAGGTAGAATTAAGGTAGAATGCATCTGACCATGTTTTGATGCTGCTTTTGAAGGTTCCTGTTGATCAGACTTTATTACATGAGCCTAACACACCAAAATGCCACAATTCCCAGGGCTCTACTTCCTGCATGTAGGGTTAAGGGTTATGGGGACTGTACAAGGATTTGGGTTTAGGGTTCAGGGAAACTTCGTACTCTCCTATTAGCTATTTGGGGAGTTGGGGAGGTTTATAAGTGAAGGGAGGGGATTGTACATAAATGGGAAGGCCTCCCCTATCTACTTGGAATTCATTCCGCTTCATACTCACCAGAACTCTATTCTCATCTGACTCATCGGTTTTAGGGTTTAGGGTTAACCTAGACCCCCCAAGGACCCTCTATAGACCCTAGGTATCCCCAAATTCCAGCTACATAGGCCCAATTTTAGGGTACTCGGGGGGGTCTAGGAACCCTAAACCTTTTGTTAAAGCACTCCAAAGTAGAAGTCGCCTTTACTGTTGAGCCGTTGCGGCCCACTCTCCGTGCCGTCACTTTCGCCTAGACTCGAACCCTTTCCGGGATCTAAGGACCAGGACCCTCCTTGTACCCTCTATTAAGGCCTAAGTACGTACTATTAGGGACCATATATCCCCAATAAGGAGGGTTGTGGGAGATAGAATTAAGAAAGTGGGGCTCTTTCAAAAAATTAGGGGTACCATGTTGGGGGGGGGTACCAAGAATAAGGACTATACTATTTGGGGATCTACTTTGGGGTTCCCCTACATATTTAAACTATCGAGTGGGATTTACTGAGATTTGGATTGAAGGCTTACCTAGACCCAAAAGTATGTGAAATAGTAGCCCTAAACACATAAATGGCAATTATTTTACATACTGTTGAGGTCCAGGTAGAGTTTAGAGCTGCAGTTTTATCAAGAACTCGTGCTTTGACTCGGGTTTTGCCTGGAACTATACTTAGGGGGACCCCAACATAGACCCCAACATAATATGACCCTTATTGACGTTTAAAAGAATCCCTAAACTGGGTTGCTGTTAAGGAACTTGATTTAAGTCACATGTTAGGGAAGCCATATTAATCATTATATATACCCATTATGGTAACTTTACTTAAGCTCCTTAACAGCAACCCAGAAAAGGTACCTCTAGTTATGTGAAAGCCCCATTTAGGGGGACCCTAGCTCAATCCAAACTTATACAAGCTGCGGCTTAGGGTTTATCTGAACCCCAGACGCAAGTAGAGTAATTGCCTTTTGGGCTGATTATGAGGATTTTGGGCTATTATTCGACCTAATTAGACCCTCCTCCTACCCTCTATTAGGGCCCAAGTACCTACTATTAGGCACCATATATCCCCAATTAAGGGTACAAGGAAGGTCCTGGTAATGACTTTTAGGGCGCAGGAGGGGTTTTAAGGCTTAAGGCCCGAAAGCATGGTATGGCTTCAACTTTGGACCTCCCATTTTCAGGTGGGAATCTGGGCTGCTGTTAAGGAACTTGAATTACGTTACCATAATGGGTATATGTAGTAAAAAANNCCTTAACAGCAACCCAGGAATTTCGAGCAAAGGGCATGTGTAAGTCGTAGACGAGACTTTAGGGTTTAGAATCCCTCTTTGGCTACCAAATCGTTTCTCGTTGGTTTGGACCCAGAAAGGACCGAAAAAGGGGTCACAATGTCGCAATTTCCCTCCCCATTTGTTACACGAAGTTCTTCAAGGAAATCTGTGAAGGACGATAACAGTCAAGGACTTTACCTGGACACTAGTACGAGCCTAATGAGTTGCAATGTTTACAATAGGATTTCGAGTTCTATTCGAGATACCTTGCACCAAAGTTAAATAGGGAATATGAAGCCATAATATTGATGGTTATTTAGACCCTTGCAGCACCCCAGCAGGGTCCTTCGCAATATGCCCCACTTACCCACACTTTAGTACTGATGGCCCGTTAATTACTCAGTAGAACCCATAAACCTGTAAGTAAGTGGGGTTGCAAGTAAGGCCAAAAAACCTTATGCCCAAAACTGCCCCAACATGACCGCTACAAACTTGGAACATACACACACACACACACACACCCACCAGGCACCACGCAAACACGGAAGCCGAAATTGACACTGCTCCAAATTTAGCAGGCTTCAAGTTTGAGCTTGACACTTATAAACTCGGAATCCACAGATCTTAAGCTGGAAACCAGCATTTAGCTGCAAATATAAACCTTTGGATTGTCTAAACTCCTAGCATCCCCATCAAGAAGCCATATACTACTCCCCTATATAATCCCCTATAGAAGCCCCTTTAAGGAGTTTAGACTATGGCTCATATGTTTCACAAGTCGCCAAGAGCATCGTGGAAAAGCCTCCTGAAAGCCTGAAAATTGGCACGAACCTGCGGAAACCTTACAGAAGTAACCATATAATCCCAGTTTCCATTTCATTTTCCATTTTCTTTTCCATTTGATTCTCCATTATGGGGCCCTAAACCCTGAGCACCAATTGCAAGCCCAGCCGCTGGTGGCCCGGCGATAGCTAGAGCTCACGGAGTCAGTGTTCATAAGGCTGCCCTCACGGACCGATTGGTTTCTGTACGGGGCCCATTAAATAGGAATTGCTTGAAGTCCAAACTCTGCTTACCCTAAACCCTAAATCGCAAGAACGACCATGTAGGAGCCTGGAAGTATGGCAGCTTCCATAAACAACGGGACCCCAATGTAGACCTCAACAAGCCTTATCACAGGGGCTCCTCAAGAAGGGGAGCTCTTTTTCTGTAATCCTCCTAGACGCAGAAAAAATACTAGTTAACTAAAAGTTCCTTACGGATGTAGACTCCACTCAACATGGAAAAATCTAAAGGAGGCTACAATTTTTTGGAAATGCCCATATGAGCCATAGTCTAAAATCCTAGTATCCCCCTTAGTAACCCCTACACTTTGAATAGTCCCCTGTATAATCCCCTATATAACCCCCTCTCAGGAGTTAAGACTCTAGCTCATATGTTGAAGACCAATATCTTCGAGGCAGGGTGCAGTTGTAACTCTAAACCCTAAACCCTAAACCGTAAACCCAGGCAAGGCCACTGGTGCAAGGGCTGAGGCTTCAGGGCTATGTGCCTAGTGTCAGTGTGGGCTTTCGGGTTTAGTGTTTGGGGCTTAGGCTTTAGGGCCTGGGACCCCTAAACCCTAAACCCTATAACACCTAAACCGCTTAGGCCCTAGTTGAGCCATTGTCAAAACTCCTAGCATCCCCCTGAATAACCCCTATAGTAATCCCCTATATAACACCCTTTAAGGAGTTTAGACCACAGCTCAGTTCAGACTTACGGTTTAGGATTTCGGGCTTCGGGATCCCCACCCGCTTTGCTGATCAACCCCTCCTCCGCATCTTCTGAAGTCCCACACACACACAACTCAAACCAGACGGTCCCACATATGCAAGCTAGGAATTAAGGCTGTAGTATAGCTTGTTGGGGCATATTGTTCCACCATTGTGTGATACACCTGGACCCTCTAGGTAAGTTCTGAGATTCTAAGCCCGAATTCAATTCAAACCCACCGAAGGCAACTAAACAAGCCAGTAACAAGAAAGTCGACAATAGCGATCAACAATGACATGCAAAGGCAAACATCATGATCAGCGACAGCATCAGTCACTTTGACATCAGCGTTCTCGTCGACATCATCTTCATCGCGACCGTCAATGCAATTGTCATCGCCATCGCCATCGTCATCGTCGTGTTCAGTGTTGATAACAGCGCGGTTTTAGTTGATACGAATTGTTGTAATCATGAAATAGTAAGCATCATCATCATATGAATACTAATCATCGTAATAACAGCAATGATAACAATGACAGTAAGAATGGGAATATATGTTGCACTAGTAACAAGTGTAATTATGTGCTTGGAAAACCTGAGGGTACCTGACCAAGCAGTGAAGAGGCTTCCACGAATCCGGAGAAATCAAATGAGTTGCCGTCTACACTCCTAGTATTTCCCTTAATTACCCTTTATAGTGGTCCCCTATATAATCAACCCTAAACCCTAATCCCTTTTAAGGAGTTTAGACTATAGCTCAAATGATCATCATCTATGGCACTTCCCTGTCATCCCCACGAGAAGACTGACTGGTGGTCAGTAGGGAATAAAGGAGTATAGTATATAGATGTTATGTGAGGACTGTATTCCCTTATTCCCTACTAACCACCAGTAAGAAGAAGGAATGTAACGTTAAACCCTAAACCTTTGGTTTCCACACCCTGCCGGCACCCACCTATGAGGATTATATAGGGATCATATTCCCTTGTTCCCTATCAACCACTAGGAAGAAGAAGGAATGTAAAGTAAACCCTTAACCCTAAACCCTAAACCTTAAGAAGGAAGAATATGAAATGGTTAACGCACCCTGTAGGCACCCACCTGGTCCTCTGATGGAGGAAGTGTGGAAAGGTGCAGCGGCGGGACCTTGCGCGCTTTTGAAGGGCGGGGAGTTCCTAGGTTGGTTTCGGGTTTAGGGTTTAGGGTTTAGGGTAGGGATGAGAGTTTGGGGTGAAGGATCTAAGGTTTTTGGGCTTAGGGGTTAGGATCTAGAGTTTGGGATGTGGGATTCAGGGTTTAGGGCGTAGGATTCAGGGCTTAGGGTCTGGGTTTTTGCGTTTGAGGATAGGGTTTAGGATTTAGGCTTTGGGGGGTTGCTACTAAGGAATTTGATTTAAGTTACCATAGTGAGTATATATCGGAAAAAATATGGCTTCCCAATATAGCAACTATAATTAAATTCCTTAACCCTAACCCCTAAACCCTACATCTCCCTACATACCCCTATAGAATTACCCCTATGCACCCTCAGTAACTTAAATCAAATTCCTTAACAGCAGCCAATTTGGGGGGTGGAGTTAAGGTTGGGAGTGTGCAGGCTTCCTTACAGCGGTGATGGGTCTTGGCGCCTTGAAACTTTTGCAGAAATTTACAGTTTAGGGTGTAGGGGTTTAAGGTTTAGGGGTTTAGGGGTTTGGGGTTTAGGGGTTGGGGTTTAGGATGTAGGGGCTTAGGGTATAGGGTGTATCAAGTAGATTAGTAAATCGTGTGGTTGTTCAAAAAATTTATTGACCAAGCTGGAATGCTCTCAGACTGGCTTCCCCACCCAAAAAACTCACAGGCCCAGCGCCTCAGGGTTTAGGGGCCTGCCCAGAACAAAGAAACAAAAACAAAAGGCGGGAAGGCCTCAGGTGATTCGACTTCCTGACACACCCGAATCCCCGAACCTAAAAACCTGACATCTCCATAGTCCTAGGCAGCAAATTCTTATGGACTTCTCAGCAAGTGCTGAGGAGTCCACAAAAGCATAAAGAAAACAACGACCAGCAGAAACAAGTTGCTCGAAGCACATTAACCGCGCTAGGCGGCCACAGTTCCAGACACTGGTGTTATCGATGACAGTGGTTCTATGGGACTACAAGATGCTAGCTGGTTATCACCTGGGTGTTCCTTACCTGGACCCCTAAACCCTAAGCCTCTAGACCTCTAAACCCGGAAGCCTTAAACCCAAAGCACTCACGGCAAAGATGCATGTCAGACTGGCCTTTGCCCGTGCCGCATGTGGATCAGGTGTAGGCCGCTCCGCCTCAGTGCCAGTAATAAAGTAAACGCCACAGAAATAGTAAAAGTAATAGTAATAGGACTGGTAATAGTAATAGAAATTGGATTACTAAGAATAGGCATATGGTTTTAGGGGTACTTCGAATCCTGCATGGAGGGTAAAAAGCCCCCATCGCGTGGCTTCATAACACCCTGTTTCCTGTTAAGGTTGCGGGTGGGTAAATCATGGGCCTCGTGCTTCGTTTCGGCAACGGGTTTAATTACCTCTAAGTTTGGGAGAGATTGCAAAGCTAGGGCGCAATGCAATACGAGTCAAGTTATCACAACATCTTGTGCCCTTCCGGAGTTGTCAATATGACGCCCCTTGTTTAAGGAAGGTCTTTCTGATAGTAGCCGCAACACAGCAGCCAACATTCTGAGCACAAACAGGAAGACTGATGTTGCCAGGCATTCGTTTGGGATTGCAAGATAATTCACATGGCAAGATTAACAGGTTGAAGCGGCGGGTTAAGGTTGAACGATGTCCATGAACATACGTCAACACCCTATCCCTCGTCAGATGCCTGTGTCACTGTAGGATCTGGATGACACTTTGAACTCCAAATGAAATGGAAACCCTGGGTCCTTTTAAAGGGATATATAGGGTTATATAGGGGTTATATTGGGATAATGGACAAGAAAATGGAAACTATAGAAATTATACACAGCGCCATATCGAAACATGAAACACGACTTTCAACACCATCCAGACTAGCCAGGCCCGCGGCCTAATTGTTGCCCCTCAACTCCAGTAAAACACTTCTAGTCACTACCTAGACCCCAAAAGTATGTAAAATAATAGCCCTAACCCCATAATAAAAGTCATAAAGGCAATCATTTTACATACTTTTGGGGTCCAGGTAGTCTTCCCACAGAAGAATCCTTCCTCATCATAGGCCGTTTTTTAGCAAACTCAATCAGGTGAGCAGAGCGCCCCACCCCGGCAGTGTCAGCAGCCGGGCTGGCTTCTCCAACCACCTCAGTCGATGCGGCTCATAATAGTAGCAATAACAATAAGAGCAACAAGAGTAATAATAGGGATAATAAGAATAACTACTAATAATCGTAATAACACTGATTGTAATAATAGTAATAATAATGTTTTACTGATACGACCACTTGCCATGGCCGGCATGATGAACGTTGGAACCGCGCGGAGAAAATCGCAGCACCGGTCGACGAGCCAAACATCATCCTTACCGTTGCACCCCGTCACCTTCATCAGCAACAACAAAGTATCAACATCGCAAACCGCTGCCTACATTCCAAACGCAATGCAACGGGAGACACCAGCTTCCAAATCAGGTGAGAGTTTGACTTGCGGGCTTTGGGGTTTCATGTGGGAAGTGTGGCTAGACATGCTTATCACTGGCTACTGCTGGGTCTCCTGAAACGTGGATCGCGTGCAAGTGCCCAAATTTGCTTTCCAGAGATTGCTTCACACGTTATAGAGCTTTGGATGAGCAAGCTACCACAAACATGTCAAACATGACTCCCTGCTCGTCTGCGTATTTTATACCCCAAAAGGAGGATATAATCTTAACTTACCCTATATTGGGTACCATAATATCCCCAAATAAAAAACTACTCAAGTGTGTTATGGGATTAGGGGGTTGCCAAAACTGAAGGCCCTCTTGGGCTTCACGGAATCTCACGGAATGACCTAAACCCTAAGCCCTGAACCATGAGAAATGGAAAGCTTCATCCTCAGCCAGCTGCGCGATGGTTACTATATGCCTGGGATTTTAGTATGTGATTTCCAGGAACACAAACCAAATCCGGCAAAACAGACGACTGGAGGGAGACCAATCTATACTATGCAAAGTCGCCAATGTATCCACAAAAAAAGGGGTCTGTCTTGAACAAAAGTATTTGGCCTTTCCCTTTTGAAGAGTCTAGGTTACTCTAGGTATGCAAAACTGTTGTGCTGCACAGTTTTTCATGCGTTGATGGCTGGCACCGGAGAGTTGCACGAGGAACAAAACCCAGGGAACCATGACAGCCCTAAACCCTAGACCCTAAACCAAATTAGGCTCCAGACATCGACCTCAAGTGGCCAGTGCTAGAGCTCAGTCATCCCACGGAAGCCTCTGCACCACAGCCAAAAGGCTGTCATACATACTAACCCTCATATTACACACAACCCCCGCCCCCATCACAAACCTTGTTTATTTGGTACACACTCTCCCACTTTTAGGTTTACGGTGTATGGCTTAGGATTTAAGCCCTAACGCACCTTAACATTAAAAAAAAAAGATGGCGCCTAGTATATGTGAGCCACCAGTGTTTGAAGGTCGGGGGACTAAGTAGATCTTATTAAAACCCGGAAAAACGAATCATGACCCGAGTCGTCCCTGTTATCAACCTACTTACTAAATCCCCTGCCCCTTCAAGTAAGAAGTTGGTGGGCTTGGGCATGAGGTAAAGTTTACAATTTGGGTTATGGTCCCTCTGGCAGGAGTGTATTCCAGATGGCCCCTTCGGTACAAGAAACTTTAGAGCAGCCCCACTATGTCAGCCACTACAGGCGCCGCAAACCCTCAACCTCCAAGGGGCGCGTAGATCTTTGAGAACCCTAGACACCTCCTGCCCCAATAACCCGAATAACTCACAGTGCTGAGGTCGCCGCGGGTTGGGGCCGCTCCGCCATGGATGCGGCCACCTCCATGAAGGTAACGGTTTGGGCTTAGGGTTTAGAGTTTAGGTTTATAAGGCTTTAGGCAATGTAGGTTCTTAACGGCTATTTTTCAAATGATGGTTATCGTGTTGAGAGTTTGAGGAACTGAAGGGTTTGGGGCTTTGGGCTTGAGCGCTTAGGATGTTGGGGATCCGGGATGTAGGGTTTCACTTCAGTTTGAAGTTTGGGGCTGAGGTTTGGTTTATGGATTGCTCCATGTGGGTCCGGACTCTTGAGTTTTGAAGCCCTCAACCCTAAAACAGTGCAGATGGAAGGGCGAGGGGCCTGGGGAGGAAATACTGTATAGGCCATAGGGTCTTTGGTCACTCTATCCCCGAACCTCATCCCGCCCCCCCCCCTCCCCCACCAAACCTTACCCCACCATACCCTAAACCATCCATATCATATATACCCATACCCCTTACGCCCTCCCTAAGCCCTTGAACTTCCCCCCGCACCCCACCCCCGGTAGGCCTCCTGGAACCGTCCAACCGCCAGTTTCAGCGACTCGGCTCCTGCAGGGCTTACATGATGAGATTCACTAATTCAAGGATGTTTGGCTTCCTGGGCCTGAACTCTAAACGCTGAACCCTAATTTCTAAACCCTGATGCGGGACTGCAAGGTGTCAAGCCTGAAACCTGAGGCCTAAATCCTAAGCTCCTCCTTCCCTGAACCCTCAGCCCTGAGCCCTAAAGCCCTAAACTCTAAACCCCTGAACCACTACACCCTAAACCTCTAAGTCTCTAAACATCTAGACCCTAAACCCCTATGCCCTAAACCCCTAAGCCCTAAA